CTTATTTCTACTTTTTAAAAAAAGAATAAATACTTCAACTTCTTCCAGAAAAAAAATAAAAAATAAAAAAAAAACCCATCCAGATCAAGCGGCGTGCATGGTACAGAGTGAAAAGGAATGGCTGAGGAGAAACTCATAAAAAGAAGCTAATGTCACATTGGCTCTGTCTTTAAAATCACTAAAGGAAACGAAGAGCAGACATTACAAGGAAAAGGAAAACATAAACTGCTTATACAGAATATCTAAATTTGGAAGGTGCTGAATGGACAACTGGCTTAGAAAAGCATTCTACTTCATGAGAATTACCCCTGATGTTCATAATTTCACAGTCAAGCTTTGTTCCCTCTTTTGATTTGATGCAGACATTTGAAAGTGAAGTTCATTAACTGTGTATGCAAATATGTGAATTCTTGTCTGTGTATGTGTGTGTGAGAGAGAGACAGAGTGTGTGTATGTATGTGTGCATAAATATGTACACAAATGCTGTATGTTACAATGTTTTGAACTCTGTTAGTTCAGGCACTAGAGTGTCAGAAGAAAAGAAAACTCAATCCACAACTTTAGTCTAGGGTCATGTTTACAGCTTTTCCTTATAGATTAAAATATGCTCTGTGTCTGTACAAAATATATTTTCACATGTAAGACATTACAACAGGAAAATAGGAACAGTTATGTAGGCATATTTTGCCAACAATGGTGTCAGAAAAAAATAAAAACTAAATAATATGGCAGTTGCTAAAAACATTTCTGCAACCTTGCCAAATAAAGTTTAGGAATATGTCATGTCTGCACTTGAACTGTTTGTTCTCAAGCTCTCTTGGAGAATGTAAGCATGGCCAAATATCCTAGCCTCAGGCCCTGGGGACTCTGCTCACACTCTTATAATGAAAACATGAAAAAATTATGAACAGTCTTCACATGTCTCTCCAAAAATGACACGTCTTAGTTTTGTCTTCAGTGATCCAAAGTATTTGACATAGAAGATAGATAGTAGTTGGTGGAAATCTTGCAACAATATAATGGAATTCTTCAAAACTTAATAAAGTGCTTTGTGTAAATTGTGTGTTCATCTTTGCCATATATTGCAATTTTATAAATAGAAGCCAGAAAGCATCACTAAACTTAGTAATGCATTAATCAAAGCTAAAATTCACAATAGGCAAGTCATATTGACTAGGTTAAATATGCCAGAGATAAATGTAAATTCTAAGAACTTCAAGTACCTTTTTAATATTAACTGCTTAGTTATTTTTCACATAGTCAGTAACATTCTAGTCACAAAAGCATTTTGGCTTTGCTTTTTAAAATCTTACATGAAATAAAAATTTAAAATCATGGTAAGAAGTGAATTACATTAAACATTCCTAATATAGAAATACCCTCATAATTTCACAGCAATACTTACATGTTCTTGAAGACTTTGATAAAGAAATCTAGAAATAGATTCAAACTCTCACACCATTTTCCAGATTTTCTCTGCCTCAAATCTTTTAGGTATTCTACATGTTATTTTAGATTCATGCTATTACTAACAAATAGCCCAGTCAAATATTAGGTAATTTCATATTTGCTATATATCTGAAATATTTGTAATCAATTTGAAAAACAACGTAATAACTTTTATCAGTGATTAATATAACAGACAAATTTATGCTTTTAAGAATATAATATGATTGAGCTTTTAGCAAACCAAATGACTCAACTAATAATTTTTAAGGGCCTTACGACACATTATTTTAAACAATAGGTCCCTGAGTATAAACATAATAACTATTGCAAGAACCAGAATGTTATTTTCACTATAACACATAATGAGAGGGAAGATATATATCTGGCTTTTCTGATTGTCATAGATATTGATTTTAAGAACATTCAGATCCCAGTCATTTGTACATAATAGTGAAGGAAGTAACAAGGACAATTTATATGAGCCTCCTGCCTTCTCCCTCCTCCACAGCCTGTTCCCTTTTTTTCTTTCTCTCATTATCTATGTTGGTCATACTGAACTGCTGGCCTGAATATTTCATATCTCTCTTGACTCCAGTTGCTTTTATCTTGGCTTGTAATTTTTTTCTCCCTTTATTGTTTATATAATACCTTTTTGCCCCCAATAGTCAAATATTATATACAACTTGTCCTGAACTCACCACATGACCTTTCTCCCTTCCCATCCCAGCACCTTGAGCTAATTTTTTCCCTCTTTGGTCACACCACAACTTGGACATAGTAATGAACACTTTGTATTATGTATGTTGGTTTGCATGTCTGTTTACCTACCAGACTGTTGGCTTCTTGAGGACAAGGGCATTTCATTCCTGTATACCAGGAGCATTGGGCAGTATATGCCACGTGATAGGTACTCAGTTGACTGAATGGAAGATTCTTTCAACAGTTGAAGGAAATTTCTTGGACTACTTTCTTGGACAACAACAATCTGACAGAACTATTTTTAGGACAACAACCATATTGCTCTCATGTTAGATACGTTACTATCATGTTGTCTTAGAAGTTTAGGAGAGTTGACCTATTATTATTTTTTTCCATTAAGGTTTGCTTCTTAACTGGAACCCATATTGTCTTTTTTTCTAATTGTTAAAAAAAAAAAAAGTCAAAAGAATTTGTCTTACTGCTAACCTATCTGCTCTTTCCCCTAACAAAATGATATTTTCTGATCAACCCTTAATCCAATATATTTCTTCCTCCTCTTCTTTTCCCTCCTCTTCTTCCTCCTTGTTCTTCTTTCTCTTTCTAACCAGTAAAGCTTCCTTGTGTGCTAGAATACATTCCATTTACCCTTACACATGCAGTCTCTACTTTGCTCTGCTCTGTCCCCGAAAGGGTCTCCATTATGAAGTTTGTCCATCACCAACTCAAATAACATCCTAAAAGGAGACTTATTCTAAAGTGAAGGAAATAACAATGGGTTTATAGCCATAAATATTACTGGTCTTAAATTGGGTTGCACCAAAACCCAAAAGGTGTTGGCTTGATATAACAATGTTATGGCCAACTAAGAACTAAACTAAAATTCTCAAGAAATGGAGAGCAATCTGGTTGAAATTTTGTCCTATAGGATGTTATATGACTTAAACTAGCTCTTAGTATTTGGAGCCGTCACTCCCATTACCAGAATTTATAGGAAAAGGAACCAAAATAAGAGTCCGAGAGCCATTCTACCATCACCAAAATAACTCACTGAAAAAAAAAATATTTACTTTCAGTCCCCAAAACATTTGGTTGAATGGGTTTGGCGTCATATTCCTTAAGAAAGAAATACTTCCATCAGAGAACACAGTCAGTCTGTTTATTTTCAAGCTAAGACTACTTCTTGGCCATTCAGGGCTACCCATATGATTGAACCCACAAAAAGAGAATGAAGTCACTCATTGGCTGAAGTGACTGATTCCAATTCCCAAGATGAACTTGGGTTTCTGCTACACAATTGGGACAAAAAGGCCTATGCCTGGAGCCCAGATGTACTGGGGTACTTCTCAGTACTTTCTTGCCTAAGGGTCCTGGTCAGCTATAGAAATACAGTAAAGATAGGGACTACCATGGAACCAGATCATTTAGGATCACTCAGCAAGTAAAGAGTTCCATTCATCTGAGCTGCTGGCAGAGGTAAAAGAACAAAGACTGAGTAGTGGAGAAAGGAAGCTATAATTATCAAACGTAGCCCTCATAACTATCATCAGAAATGGGACCGCAGTGGGACAATGTTATTGTAAGTATTTTTTACTTTCCCTTTCCCTCACTTTCCGACCTTATCTGAGAACGCTGGTGCTAGCTTCTGTTTTAAGTTTCATCTGAGAACACTGGTGCTACCTTTGTTTTAAGTTTCAGATGAACAGATCATTGCATTGCTAGCAACCCAGCTGCTGGGAATGTATGTTCGGCACGTATCACTCCATCTGGACAAAATACAAGAGTTAGTACAGAAGGTGAGCTCTGCTTCATACTTCCCATTTGACCCTCCAGATCTGCTCTTCATTTTCCTCTACCCTGCCCTGTGTTCCCACAGGATGACCAGTGTAAAAGACATTAGTGAGCTCTCTTGCCCTTTGGCTCCCAGTGGGGTTCAGTTAATGGGAGTCATCAGAAGATCCGAGGAAGGGAAAAGAGTGGGATAAATATTTATTTCCCCTTTTCCTTCCTGTGGGTTGATTTCATGCACCTACCAAAGGCCACAGCTCCTACAAGACAAACTTTTCATCCATTATCTGTTGGTTTCTAATAACCATTCTTTCTTATCACTTTAATGCCTCTTAAGGCCTTGGGGCATAATACCTCCCTATTTTTACCAGGCCTAATGGGATTACTCTATCTTACATTGATTTCCCCGTACTTGGTCCAAAGGTTTGGAAGTAATCACCATGTGTTAAACTTTCTTCAATTACCATCTCTTTCCGCCACAAAAAAAACAAAACAAACAAACAAAAAACCCCCAAAAAACAACCTGTCTGATACACAGATGTCAACATCTGCAAATTGTGTCCATAATTAAATTACATGTATCAAATATTTCTTTTCCTTTTATAATATATCATACAAAACAATCTTTTTTCAATATACTATTAAAATGAGTAGAAAGGCATATTACAAAAAAAAAGTAAATAGATTCATGGAAGTGCTAAAAGTTGAAAAGAGTTTATGCCATGAAAAGGTAAGAAATGTTGACTTTAGAAAATAGTAAGGGTGTAGTTGTACGGAAGGATAACCTAGATCAAAGGAATCGCATCTTAACATATGCATGGATGAGGGTTGCAGGTGATTGAAACTTTTCTCAGTGATAAAAATAAAAATAAATAAAATAATAAAATAAAATAATGGTTTTAAATGTGGAGTTTTTAGTTACAGAGATCAGGAAAGAGCTTGAGACAACCCTGAGAGAACTTAAGTAAAGGTTCATTTACAAAGCTTCTTAGTCATTCAGTCTCTACCCCCTCCTCAGCATGTGCAGGGCAGCTGAGCATAGATGCTTCTCCAGCTGAAGAGCTCACCTTTAATCTGAGCGGAAGATTTTCCTGAATGTCTTACAGTGGCAGCTGCAGTCGGTGAGAGGAGGAGAAAACAGAAGAAGATGGCTCTGAATCTCCTTAATGGAGCTAGTTATTGAGGAGAGAAAGGGAAAAGCAGCTCTACCTGAAACAAAATTAATCAAAGTACACCACCCTGAACTAAGTCCTCCACCCTATGGTATTTCTAGCCTGCATGCCCTACAGCCTCATAATCTAAAGAGAAGCTTGCCTGACAACTGGACCGGCTCACAATCAGGCTTCTGACCTCACAGGAGGGGGCCTTTAGGGCAACAGACCTACAAAACTGCAAAGCAAACCGTGCTGGCAAAGGGATCAATCAGCATAGAAGCTAATTCACAGATGTGAGTGACACATTGAGCTTCAAGTTATAAAATGTCAACAGAGATAATGAAAAAATTGGAATAATGTGTTTAATCCATGGTAGTAAACTCAGATTTAAAGCATGTATTGCATCTCTAAAATAAAAACAGGCTGACATATAAAAGAACAATAAAAGAACGTAAAAGAACTATTAGAAATGAAAAGTATGAGTGCCAACATTAATTTTAAAAGAATCAAAAAGAACACTTAATAAAATAGGTGGTCCTTGATTAATAATTTGGATGATAAAGACAAGGAAATATTCCAGAATAGAAAATTTAAAACACTTAGATATTGAAAATATTAGGAAATTAAATGCCAATGATAAGAAAGTACAACATACACCTACTGGAGAACCAGAAGAAAGAAAAGAGACAAATGGTGAGTATAAATAATTACAGAAATAATAGAAAACAAGTCTATAAGAAGAATATTTAAACTGAAGGACATCATGGATTACGAGAAAAAATGAAAGCCAGAGAGAGAATTCTGAAGTTTCAGAATTCCAAACACCAAAAGAAAATAATAAAATATATTGAAAGAGAAAAACACAGAGAAAAGAGAATCAGATTGACATCAGAGTTTTCATTAGTACCATTGCATGTCAGGAAAAACAAAAAACAGATTTAATCTAGAATTCTAGATTAAATTTTTTAAAACTTAAAAAGAAAATATTTTAGGCTGCAAAGCTCTAGTGTCCACAAGTATCTTCTGAATATATATATATATACACACACACACACACACACATATATATACACACACACACACACATTCACATACACATAATCTAGGTAAACAAAAAAGAAGTTGGACAATGAGAAAATGATCCAAGTGAAGAGTAATGTGAAAAGAAACCACAAGGTGATTTGAACAGTAGGTAATATAGCACCAAAAATTCTTCAGGAAGAAAATAGGTCTCATTCCCTAAATTGTTTGATTAAGTCACCTCTTACTGATAATTTAAAGATACATATACATAACTTCTTAACAATAAAGGCAAATAAAAGATCCAAGTAAAAAAAAAATCAATTGTTCAAGAATAGCAGAGTCCAAATATAAAGAAACTTTATTCAAATTATTCTGAAAAATATAGGAGGAAGGAATACTTCCAAATACATTATATGAAGCCAGGATTCTCCTGATACCTAAACCAGAAAAGACACATCAAAAAAAGAAAATTACAGGCCAATATCTCTGGTGAATATTGATGCAAATATCCTCAAGAACATACTAGCAAGGCAAATTCAACAACATACTAAAAAGGTCATTCATCATGACCAAGTGAGATAGATCCCTGGGATGCAAGGATGGTTGAATATACACAAATCAATCTATGTGATACATCACACTGACAGAATGAACGACAAAAGCCATACAATCATTTCAATTGATGCTGAAAAAGCATTTGATAAAATTCTACACATTTTTATGATAAAAACTCTTTAAAAAGTGGGTATAGAAAAAATATGTCTCACATAATAAATGCCATATACAACAGACTGATAACTAGTATCATATAGAATGGGGGGAAAACTGAAAGCTTTTAGCTAAGATCTGGAACAAGACAAGGATGCCTAAAGTCACTATTGTTATCAACATGGTTCTGCAAGTTGTAGCTAGAGCAGTCAGAGAAGAGAAGGAAATAAAGGGCATCCAAACAGAAAACGAAGAAGTCAAATTTTCCCTGTTTGCAGATGATGTGATCTTATATATGAAAACACCTAAAGAATCCACCAAAAACCTATCCCACTGCTAGGTGTGTAGTCAAATAAAGAAAATCAATATATCCAAGAGATACCTGCACTCATGTTTATTGCAACACCATTCACAAGAGCCAAGATTTGGAAGCAACCTAAGTGTCCATCAACAGATGAGTGGATAAAGAAAATGTGGGCCGGGCGCGGTGGCTCAAGCCTGTAATCCCAGCACTTTGGGAGGCCGAGACGGGCGGATCACGAGGTCAGGTGATCGAGACCATCCTGGCTAATACGGTGAAACCCCGTCTCTACTAAAAATACCAAAAACTAGCCGGGCGAGGTGGCGGGCGCCTGTGGTCCCAGCTACTCGGGAGGCTGAGGCAGGAGAATGGCGGGAACCCGGGAGGCGGAGCTTGCAGTGAGCTGAGGTCATGCCACTGCACTCCAGCACGGCGACAGAGCGAGACTCCGTCTCAAAAAAAAAAAAAAAAAGAAAATGTGGTACATATACACAATCAAGTACTATTCAGCCATAAAGAGAATGAGATCCTGTAATTTGCACCAACATGGACAGAACTGAAGGTCATTATGTTAAGTGAAATAATCCAGGCACAGAAAAACAAACTTCACCTGTTCTCACTTATTTACTGAAGCTAAAATTTAAACAAGTGAACTCATGGAGATAGAGAGTAGAAGGATGGTTACCAGAGACTGGGAAAGTTAGCAGAAAGGTAGGGAGAAGTGGGGATGGTTAATATGCACACAAACACACACAAATAGGAAAAATGAATAAGACCTAGTATTTGCTAGCACAACAGAGTGACTACAGTAAAAAAAATAATGTAATTATACATTTTAAAATAACTAAAAGAGCATAATTGGATTGTTTGAAACACAAAAGATGAATGTTTGAAGTGATGGAGACCTAATTTACCCCGATGTAATAATTATGTATTACGTAACTGTATCAAAATATCTCACATATCCCATAAATATATATGCCTATTATGTGCCCACAAAAATTAAAAATTGAAAAAGAAATATGAAGAAATTTTGTTCGGAGCAACTGAATTAAAAAGAAAAAATAATTCATTTGCCATCGAATGAACTTAGCACAAATTGTGAGCCCAAAACAATACTAGAATGTTTTCTACATGTTAAATAATTTAATTCTCATAATAGTCTTGAAGTAAATATTTACGATGTGATAGTAAACATACAGACAATGAAACTGATGCTCTAGACATTTAAATTTCCTGCCCAAGGCCTTCCAGATAATAGTGAAGGGAATGGAGTCCAGTGTCCAAAGACAAAATGGGCTCATTGTTTAATGTTAAAATTCACAACGCTAATTTTTTTTCTACATTTTCAACTTTTCTTTTAGATACAGCAGCTACATGTGCGTATTTGTTACATGGGAGCATTGTGTGATGCTGAAGTTTGGAATATGGAATCCATCACCACGACAGTGAGCATAGTACCCAATAGATAATTTCTTAGCCCCCACCCCCTCCCTACACCCTCTATTAGTCCACAGTGCCTATTGGTCCCATATTTATGTCCATGCTGATACTAAATTTAAATTTAATTTGAATAACCATTTGTCAGGATATTGAAAGCATTCCTTATCAAGGGAAAAGTTGTATTCAAACATTAATTTTTACTCATTTAACTATTCAACAAATATTAATTGTGCTGATGTTACAGGCCAGACAATATATTCATAACACAAAGAAAAATAAAACATCTCAGCCTTCAAGAAGCATATAAATTAGTAGATTATTGATCCAAGATAGATGCACGCTTAAAATAAACTTCTTTATCATTAAGCTGTCATCCCTGCTCATTACTGCCTTAGAGATTTTTGACCCTTTGATCATGGTATCCCCACATTAGCCTTCCAGATAATTCCATGAGAATCCCTACAGCCCAGAGATGTTTTACACAAAGGAAAAAATATTGTTTGAATCCTTCAACATGAATCACTATGGTTGAGATTACTGAAGTTTTCAATGCTTTATAATATCACTTCCAGATCTTTCTTATTCCATATAACACTTGTGAATAGGCACACTGAGAAGAGGCAATGGGCCCACAGGACTGAAGAAAGTCAGAAGAATATGCAGATGGAAACAGAAAGATGTTCTTATAAGTTACATGCTCAGCTATGATCTAATAGAGGAAGAAGAAATTAAAATAATTGTTTGTTGTGATACTTGAAAACTCAGCTGGTAACTCACCATGGGGATTTCACCACGTTATCTTTAGGAATATCTGAAGTTACTGGTTCTGTAATACATTATTGAGGCATTTAAAAATTAAGGGAAATTGTATGACTCAATCTTTTCCAATAATATTAGTTGATGCAAAAAATAACATAGATTTTACTGTGGACACAAAAATTCCCAGAAGTGACATGCTTGTAAATAGTTACACTTTCAGTCAATTAATTTCTTTGAATTGTGGGATTTAAAGGACTCAGTAAGCATGAACAGGAAAAACATGTAAGTCAGTAAAATATTAACCACTGTGTTAGACTGGAAATGACAATTTTCAACAATGTTTTATGCTTCGTTAGTCAGTTAAATTTTCTATCAACATAGGCTTAGTAACCAGTTGAAAACCATGATCACATTCTGGAAATTCAGATTACGAATACTAAAGATATAGTCTCCTTTGTCATAACAGGCAACATGTATTCCTTAAAAAGAGTAAATATAACATAGAAAAATACAAGTCCACATAAATAATAGAGAATTTATGTTTAATTTTCTAAAGAAACTACTTCTTAATTTAGTTGGTTGTTATTTTTTTGTTTACTGTAAAGTTTATTCTTTCATAGTTTAGCTGCTTTATATAAATGACTAGAATAAAAATGGAATGATCAGTCTTTTGAAAATTAGTGTATCATCATGTATATATTTGTCCTCTAACTTATAAAGAATTTTCTGTGAAAAGACAAGGTATTTGTGTACCTAAAGCATGTGATAATCTTGGCTCACTAAGTTGCCATTAAAAAGAGCAATTTAATATTTCCTAAACCAAATATTTCTTATGCATCTTCTCATTGAAATCTATAAGCTAGGTATTATATTATTCTTATATTCTCACATTAGCAAATAAGAATCTGAGGGTTAAAAGACCCTTGTCAAGGCCACACAACTAGCGAAAGATGAACCAGCACTCCATCTTAGGCAGTCAGAATTCAGAATTGAAGCTTTAAAACACCATGTATTATTGAGATATGTTCTCAAGCCACACAAACACAGTGGTAACTGTGATGTAGCAAAACCATCTGCATAGCAGGATGTTCTACTAAAAAAAATTAAATGCACCTACATGCATACATACATACATACACATGTAGAAAAAAAGATTAAGACCAAAATAGTAATCACTATTATAACTGTATAGTGGGATTATAGGGAACCTCTTTTTTTTTTTATGCTTTTCTATAGG